CCGCTCGCCCGCGTTACATCGCCATAAAAATATCACGTCCGGCACGGAAGAGAGTTGCGAATTGCGTGCGGTGTAGCTTCGTATTGCCGCTTCGCGATACGGTCTAATCGCGTGGCGGATGCCGCGTCAAAAGTGCCAGGCGACTATTTTCCGTTCATCGCGGAATGTGTGAGACGTACATGACACGGCTCCGAAGCACTAACCTGCCGCAAACTTGACGTATTGTTTGTCACGCGTGCGGCAAGCCGTTGACGTTAACGCGTTACTATTAATGTAGGGAGTAATTAGAACAGTTTGTCGAACCGCAGTGTAACTTTGCGGCCGTATTTTACGACGGAAGTGTCGCGCGGATGTCGTAAATGTCGTTAACGTGGCGCGACTAATAAACATAATGCATCATTGCTATTCGATGTAACGCGCAACGTTGTTTATCACGATAAAATATGCCGCGCCGTTTATAAGATGCAGCCGAGTTAATTAATTAGCCTAACTTATATGTAGTTCGTAATTGATTATTAACTTGTAAATCGTTATAAGACGTTACCTCGTCGTTGGGACCTCTCATATGTTTTGCGTAAACTCGTCTATATATAATATTATGTGAAGTCGTACAGGAGAAATAGCTATAGAGAAAAAAAGTATACGATGTTTCACGATGTTCCTTGATAAATGAAAGAAATATTGTGCCGGAAATATGTTCCTTATCAGCTATTTTTTTTTATTATGATTGAACAATATGGATTGCATTAACGTTAAGTAAAAACCTGGTCCTGGTACATCTGACAACTCGTATCATACATCATTTAATATTACAGGCTTGTAATTAACAACGGTGCAGGACGAATGACAGAGTGTAATTTGGAAAACGATTAATTTATATATCATCCAAGTCTCTTGTGTCCGATATAAATTATCTTTATAGCACCCGGATAGCATCTGGGTTCGAATGATCCTTATAAAATGATCGTTGTAATTAAAATTCGAGTAAAATCAACGTCTATTTGCAGTTATTCATTTATCTATTCCGAAGTATACGTGGCAAGAGTCATGTGCAAAATGTTACTATATGTTGTTTCCAAGATATACGAATTTCGACTAGTTCATTAGTATCGAATTGCGCGTGCGATGACACAGAGGAGAAACAATTTCGTGGCTTCACGTTGTATTGCTATTATTGTACAATACCTTGTTACGCGAATTCTCGCGTATTAAGACGCTGCAAAATCGTGAACGGCTGTAAGAAGGTCGCGATCTAGATCTTGACTTTTGCTAAACCAGTTTGCGAGGCCACGTTGGAGCAGCTCGTTGCAAACACGCTCGAGGCTACTGACCCTTCGTGCTCACAAACGCGCCACGAGACCTCGCGGACTACGCGTGCTGCACAAGAGATGGTGGAGTCTCGACTTTCCGACCGACAGGAACCATCTTTTTCCCCTGGATTCTTTCTTTTATTAAAACGAAAAAGAAAAAAATTAAAGGAAAAGGAGCACGCGCTCCATACGATATTGGAAAAGACTTTAACATGCAAATATTAAATCTTGTTACAAGTATGTTGCATTATAGACTTAAATTTGATAAAGTAACAAATTAATTATAATTGGTAATAAGAATTACAGTAGTTATATTAATGCTGGAATATTAAGAAATTATTAATTATTCAAATAATTAACAAATTAAATAGTAAAGATGGATGGATACGAAGAATTTAAACGCGCAGATGTTTCGATTTTTAATTCGAGTTCTCTTCAACGCGATGACAAACAGATTGATAGGTAGAAAGATCCAACATGGTCAATTGAATGATTTTTGGTAGTCGAATTATTATACATAAAATCTTCTCTCCCAAAAATCCAAAGACATTACATTAAAGAAAAGTCCGGAATTAGTAGATAATTCACAAGAGGGATCAGAAGATCCTGAGAAGATGACAATTGCCAATAAATTGACAAACAATTTTTGCGTTCAATGGCACATGTCAAGATAGAAATTCATTTTCGGGCTTCTTCGTTATTTGCACGATTGCAATCAATGTAAAACTAAATGGTGAAATATTGTAGAGAGATTGTTTACCATGCGCGCGCGCGCGCGAATTTGGCCTCATCATCGAGTGTTCTAAATGGGGAGCGTCACGTGGGGACATGTCGCTAGATTAAGTAATGCGTGTCTCGTTGCTGCAATCGGTCGGTATTGACTGAATTGACAGTCTTCCGCTTGCATGCGTGCGGTCCGTCGGTGCGCATCACTCGAAAGAGCAGGAGAGAAAGAGGAAAATGAGTGTGTTACAATGGCGTCGATAACGGAGATGTCATCTGTCCGAACAAACTGACGTTAGTTGACCCTAGAAAAATTTCAAGTACGCAACGCGCACGACCCGTTACTTTGGACGGACGTCCTCATTGATTGAAATAGATGGATTGTCATACGCACGCTGGCGATGCCAACTAGTTCATTGATAATATGTCTACGTTAAATACATTGTACACGTCCTACGATCGATATTACATGTCGCATTGCATGTATTAAAATTAATTTATCCATGTAACGTCGATAATGTCGGCCCGATATTATCGGGGCAATTATCGGAAATTTATCCCGCTGAAATATACACTGTACAATTTTCATCCAGAATTCTCGACAGAATAATAAACTGTCTTTATTTCTGTTTAATATTTCAACACGACCATTAAAGATTCAGATTTACAAATATTTCTATTGTGGGGGTTGTGAGCAATCTCGATACACTATGGTACGTAGATCCGGGGCTGAGCAACGTCGCGATAACCTACGATGTGGCTGTTATGTTTTGACGTGCATCGCATCGTGGCAATCGATTGAATTTGCCTCTATCCTGCTCCCGCGCTCACCAAACCTCTCAGGCTCTCTCAGGTCGATGACTATTAAATCCTTTTTTAAAACGCCAAGAGCCTGCAAGTCGTGGGATTGGATGCTCCCACGAAGAGAGAACGGTACGCGATTAGAAGGCATTTTGACATCGTGTGTTTCTCATCCTTGTATCTTGACAGGAGAGTTGCTATTACCTCTCGCTCGCAAGATGAGGGTCATGGCTAGATCGACCTTTCTTGCCTCTTTTCCTTCTTCTTCTTTCCCCTTTTCCTTTTTCTTCTTCTTCTTCTTCTTCTTCTTCTTCTTCTTCTTCTTCTTCTTCTTCTTCTTCTTCATTCCCACTCTATTATCTGCCAAAAGCAGCGTACGCTAGACATAAAAGTTTCGTTCTCAATCTCACGAACCGTTCTCGCAGTCGTGTGGATGTTGAAGAACGGATGTGGAGACGTGGAGGTGAAGAGAATATAGGCAAACGGGCGATAGAAGGGTATGCGGGAATCGAGTACGGAACTCTGTGCGCAAACACGACGATTGTATTACATCGAACGTTCCATTTCAACGAGCCATCAGGCATGCATACGAAACCTTTTTAACTTTATACAGCGCACGTTCTTTTTCGATCACGACGATCGTTTCCACAAAGTTTTTTTTATCGGGGTCAGTGGTTTTTTTTTTTTTTGAGAAGAATTGCTGAGCATCGAAAATTTGTTGATAATTTGAAGATAAAGAAAATGGCATCAAAAACCGTTTGAGAATACAACATTTTTGGAAATAATATATTGATTTTGTAATAATTTGTGCGTGAAAGTTATGTTTGGGATAATACACGTAGTTATTAATTTGTGAATAAATTAAATTTTATGGTAAAGGTAATTTCATCACATTAGTGCAGTCATATCATTGGTTAATCGACATTTCCGGTGGTCGATTTACATACGAGGAATCCAGAATTCATTACGGTAGCATATTCAAATAGGAACATAGTTCTACTCTATCTCATAAAATATTAAGTTCGCATGATTAATATTCCTAGTTTTATAGTTATAGTATTATATACTTACCGTTGCATTTTTAACTCTGAACCGTTTATTATGATACACATATTAAGTGGCTGCTAGTCATCTTCAAATTTTCATGAATTTACGTTATACATGTATTAAGTTTTAATTTTTTTAGAGAAGAAGAAATATCGGTATTGAAATGTAATAAAAATATTATTGTATTGATTGCGTAATATTTTTATAGAATTTGCCATACCAATTGTTTGCATTAGTATTGAAGTGATCGAGAACATCGATTAAAAAGTATGGATTTATAACTATAATATACTATAATAGAGTATGGTGGAACTATTCCGTCAATTTCAATTTGCGATATAAAAAAGTGATATAAAAATTCGCAGAAAAATATCTCACATATTTATATTTCAAATTATATTTGAAACATAACTGATTTATTACTGAACATAGTGTAATCTTTTGTAAACATAAAAATTTACATACAACAGAGAAAAACGTAAATGTCTAATTCTATATGGAAAAGAATACAAATGTTTAATTAAAATGTAGCGCAAGCTGCTCAATCATGTCAGGCGACATTTGGCGCCAGATTGTGTGCAAAAATTTGTTAATTCTACTCGGTCGGCAAGAATTCCGTTAATTGGAGTATCCCAACTTCCTTCCTAATAGAATTAGATCGGAAGTTCTCGGTTCCTTTCGGTAGAGCAAAGATGCTCTCCTTATATTACGGTGCAGCATCTGGCATCGTCATTTATTGTGCTCTTGTTCGGCGATATTGCAACTGATAGCTTCAGGAATTCAAATGCCAAAGCGTGAAAGTGCACAGTGATTAAATACGCATTTGCACCTGTTTTTGTACCGACGAGTAGTTTGACTATACATATTATGTGCGAAATAAATTTGTTTCGTAATTCTCTCGATAATTTGCTAGCGAAGATAACTAGAAAACTAGAAAAAATTAAAATAAAACCAAATGAAAAATAAATATATTATACACTGGCAGTGATTTGAACTAGTTGAAACGAAATCAACTAATAGGATTATTTAATAGGATAATTTCGAACCGTTACATTAGTAATAAGTTGTTTTCGTAAACAGTATCGTAGACTAACATTTTCGTTTTTTTTTTATTTACAGATTGAAGGAAGCCGATATTCTATGGAGATGCACTCATCGTACGTGATAGCGAGGTAAGCGATAATTTTCAGACGTACGTAATTTTTATGCGTTGAATAAATCATAGATATAATTAGATATCAAACGTCTAGTCGATCTTTTATAAATAGTAGATCTATCTATTCGGTGATTAAGACTAATTGATATGTTCGTGAAATATGTCGTCGTGCAAACAGCTTTAATGAGTAATCGGTTGGATGGACCGTCGATGCACTATCGGTGTTATTAGAACGGAATGCGACATATCGATCCCTGAATGTACGCTCAAATCCGTGCATTTCCGTTCGGTCTGCGAATTCTCGTGGCATGCCTTCGACATGTGGAGCGTGAAGATGCCAGCGGCATCACGCAAGCACGCGGTTTGTAGCGATTGAAATTAGCTGACCATCATGTTTAGGACAACTAAACGTCTTATGAGATATTTCGCCATATATACTTTTCATATTACGTGCCACCTATCTATGTGTATGTTATATAATTTCCTTATGATATATATTAGAAATAACAGGAAACGCGGCAAATGCTTCGCGCAATCTATTTATAGTGACATGACAATGAATGCAATTTTACTTTAAAATAAGATAAACGAAATTTGGATTGGATTTAAAAAAATTATTATATTTTTGCTATTTCCTGTTTAATATATTATTCGAATAATTTTTATATTTGAAAATCAATATAGGTATGTGTAAGCTAATAGTTGTACTATGCATATGTTAATAAACCAATATCGGTGCAGATATTCGAAACATGGAAATATCGGTAAACAGCGAATATTGGTAAACTAATAGAATCATCATAATTGCAACTAATTGAATATTCTAGACTCTTCGATATTTTACACTTTTTTTAATCATAAAAATTTTGCATAGTTTTAATATAAAATATCAATTTATGATCAATCGGTTTAATGAAATTAAGCATAGAAGAATTCGGTCCTTATGTCTTTTACATAAATCTTTTATATAAAATCTCCTTTCATTTTGTATATAAATGTTTAAAGATAATTTAGAATAATGAAGGAACGCTTTCTTTGCATGCGAAAGAATGCATTTATACAATTATGCATTATTACAAAACGACACAAAAAAGGCAGAGTTTCCTAATTAATGAGAATCCCAGTAGTATGCATCTCAATAATAATTATATTATGAGATTTTATCGAATTTTTTTATCGAATCCATTTCATATCTACGTGATTATTGTGATTATTCTTTGAATTTCACGTTTAATTAAACGAATGCCACGAGCACTTTAAATGTGCATTATTGAAATATATGAATAAGATATCAAGATAATTTTAAATAAGATAATTGCATATATGATTGAAATAGATTTTTCAACGTTGTACCTTTAACAAATTGAGACTGGCGTTCTTCAATTGACAGTCCTTTAATTGGTTTAAAATGTTTATAACTGTTGTAACTCATTGCTGTCATTGCAATATTCAATTTGCTTTTTTGAAATATTGTCTGGTTTACCGCGATTTTGTTACCGCGGTAACAATTTGCTATACTTTTATCTATTTATATTGATTGACTTTGCGAAAAATGTCCACTTGAACTCTCCAGTAAATTCATACATCGAATAAATGGCCTTTTTCCCGATAAACAGTAAATACAAATCAATCTCTTGCGATGTCGAAAGTTCTATATTATGCCTGACAAAAAAATACATACGTGTATTTGTTTTTAATCACGCGAGAGAGTCTCAAAATTTGATTAATTTGTATCGCAACTTTATATTTTATGTGAAATCATATAATTTATTTTTATGAAAAAAATTGTTACTTCAATTAAAAAAAATGCTATGTATTATTACGTTACTTAAATTTTCAATCTTATATACGCACTTACGTATATGCGTTTACAAAAAAATTAAATTTAAAAAAAAATGATAGCCGTGGCTGAGTACTTAAACTGACAAGTTTCTGCATACACAAAGGTGTTATATTTAACTCTAGAATACATTTCAGGTTGTGGTTTTGAGAAGAAGTTATTTTGTTTAAATGTTACTCTTGCACTACGCTTATACCGTATATTGCTGTGCTTGCATACGAGTTTGCGATTTAACTTGAGAGCATTCTATACTATTGGCAACTTTGTGATAGCCCAATAGTAATGAAGCATCTGGCATATAATCAATGTAAATCAAAACCACATCAAAGCAACAGCACAAAGTTTTTTATTTGTAGTTATAAACGAGAAAATAGCGATGTAAAAAAGGGAAAAATAAAAAGAACGAAAGATAGAAACATATTTATCATAGTGATGAGTGTGCGTTGAGAGAGTGATATTTTTTTCCTGAATTTTATGAAAGTGACCCCAATTTTATTTGCAAATTTTTTTCTGCGGGAAATAACCGTCATTAAAAGTGTCTTGCTCAAAATGCAAATTGTGACGAAAGCACTGACATTTATTTATAATACGTATTCTTTTAATAGATGTAGCAATAAAAGGCGCCATTTGGACCCGCTATTTAAAATGTTGTACCGCGAATCGAGCAATATAAATTGCTCCACGTGAAAAATCTCGCGAAAATAACACAACGCGTGTATGCGTACACGAGCGATGAACGTAAATGGTACGAATCGTTTTCTCGAAAAAAAAAAAGACCGGGGTTGCGATGGAAGTCGGACGAATTCGGACGAAATTAATTTGTCGCGAAAATCAGAAATAGATGCAAAGTAGGCAATTAACTGGGAGGAGATCGCACGGAGGAAATCACACCCGTGCATGATTGGCTCTCCTGAAAGGTAAACGATCTCTGTCTCGGTCCTTCTTGCCGCGCTGGCGTTGTGCATTCGGGTAAATTGCATTTCGATCGACCCAGTTTTTATTTCAATTTGTCGTGAATTTATGTGCGAATTATCGGAGAAAGAACGCGGTGGAATCGAGACAGAGAGAGGTGGTGGCTCATAAGGAGGGAGAGGGAAAAAGAAAAGAGAGACGGAAGGAGAACCGAAAGAGGTGCGGGTAGGTGGCACGATTTACTCGCGTCGTTTCTCGGCACCCTCTCGCTAACTACGATTCAATTTGCATTTCATTCAATAAATCGTGCCTCTCTTCGCGCTTTTCCCGACACACACACACACACATACACACACGCGCGCGCGCGTGTTTTCCCGGAAATTCTTCATCTCTTTACCTCACAACGACGAATGTCGCGCAAACTCGCCTAATATGACTTCGGTTCTCCCTTCGATAACGAGCATTCTTCTCACGTTCTGTGTTCCCCTCTTTTCTCTTCTTTCTCCGAGATGTCTCAAAAATGATGAAATTATTTTTTGTTTATGGATAACTATAAAGGTGCTCGACAACATGCTCATTTACGATAAGAAACACGAGATTTCACACACACACACACACACAAGAGCTTGTATATTTTATTTATCAGATTCGATACGTTGTTAGATATCGCGTGTATCAACGAAGCCTTCGCTCGAGATAAGGAGCATGACATGTTTACACGCAAGAGGGGGTGCGTGTTTTAATTGCTATCAACTAGAACAGATAGACGTTAGAGAATTGTGTTGAAGCATTTACTTACGAAAAAATTCAAAAA